ATTCGCGTGTACAACTCTAGCCGATGCGTGTGGATGTCTTTTTTTGTTTACATATGTAGTGTGTTTGCATCATAAGCCATGTTTGCCCTCGCGCCCCATCGCCTGGCAATCGCAAAACAGCATGCTTACGCAATTGCGGAAGCATGCGTGCCCAGGAGGGCGGACATTGCCAAAGAAATCGTTGGTTAAATTCTAGCCAGCGCATGCGGATTTGACCTGTTTGGGCATCGCAAGCAGTTTCTGCTCGTTTTGCACAAACTTCACATCGCTCAGGCGCTCGGAAGCCTCTGCACAGCGCCCAGGCGCTCAGAGGCCTGTGCAAAGCGCCCACTCGATCAGAAGCCTCTGCACAGCGCCCAGGCGCCCAGACGTTTCTGCAAAGCGCTCGGGCGCTCAGATGCCTCTGCGAAGCGCTCAGACGCTCAGAAGCCTTTGCAAAGCGCTCAGGCGCTCAGAAGCCTCTGCAGAGCGTTAAGGCGCTCATAAGCCTTTGCAGAACGCTCAGGCGCTCAGGCGACTCTGCAGAGCGCTCAGGCAGAGCGGTCAGGCGCTCAGAAGCCTCTGCAAACCGCTCAGGCGCTCATGTACCTCTGCAGAGCGTTCAGACGCTCAGAAGCTTCAGCAGCCCCTGCAGAGCGCGCGCGCATTTCTGAAGGTTGGTTGTAAAGTTGCCGCTCTGGTTGTAAAGTGGTGGTCGCTCTCAAAGGAAAACCAGGGAATCCGATCCTCTGCTGGCTGTTAATTGACCTTTCTCGGTGATAAAGTGTCGTTCAGGTTGTAAAGGGACCGAATATCCCCCCTACTCGCCGCCGCCGGCGACGACGACGACGACATCGAAGACGACGACGACGACGACGACAACAACGGCTATATTATCGACGACGACGACAACGCCGACGACGACGACGACACGACGACACGACGACGACAAGGACGACGATGACGACGACGACGACGACGACGACGACGACGACGACGACGACGACGACGACGACGACGACGACGACGACGACGACGGGGGGACCCTATCGGACGGGTCGGGCGGGCGGACCCTATCGGGCGGGTGGTGTCGGGCGGACGAGACACTAAACTCTGATGCGAAAACAGCATGACACATGAGAACCCTAACGGGTGTGACTAGACGGGCGGAATCTATCGGTCGGTCGGGTCGGGTGGGCGGGACACGAACGTGTGATGCGTAGACAGCGTGTGACACATCAGAACCCTAACGGGCGGGTCGAGACAGGCAGACCCTATCGGGTGGGTCGGGCGGGCGGACCCTAACGGGCGGGTCGGGACACACAAGTCTGATGCATATACAGCATGACACGTGAGAACCCTCCAACGGGCGGGTCGGGACGGGCGGACCCTATTGGGCGGGGCGGGTCGGGACGGGCGGACCTTATCGGGCGGGTCGGACACTAAATCCTGATGCGTATACAGCGTGACACATGAGAACCCTATCGGGCGGGTCGGGACGGGCGGACCCTATCGGACGGGTCGGGCGGGCGGACCCTGTCGGGCAAGGCGGGTCGGGCGGGCGGGACACGAAAGACTGATGCGTATACAGCATGACACATGAGAACCCCAACGGGCGTGTCTAGACGGGCAAAAACTATCGGACGGGTCGGGCCGGGCGCGCGGGACACTACAGTCTCATGCGTAGACAGCGTGTGACACATGAGAACCCTGACGGGCGGGTCGAGACGGGCAGACCCTATCGGGCGGGTCGGGCGGGCGGACCCTAACGGGCGGGTTGGGACACGAAAGTCTGATGCGTATACAGTATGACACATGAGAACCCTCTAACGGGCGGGTCGGGACGGGCGGACCCTATCGGGCGGGTCGGGCGGACCCTGTCGGGCGGGTCAGGTAGGGCGGGCGGGGCACGAAAGTCTCTGATGCGTATACATGACACATGAGAACCCTAACGGGCGGGTCGGGACGGGCGGACCCTATCGGGCGGGTCGGGCGGGCGGACCCTATCGGGCGGGTCGGGTCGGGAGGGCGGGGCGGGTCGGGACGGGCGGACCCTATCGGGCGGGTCTGGCGGACCTTATCGGGCGGGTCGGGCCAGGCGGGCTGGACACCAAAGTTTGATGCGTATACAGCATGACACATGAACACCCTAACGGGCGGGTCGGGACGGGCGGACCCTGTCGGACGGGTCGGGCGGGCGGGCCCTATCGGGCGGGTCGGGTCGGGCGGGCGGGACACTAAAGTCTGACGCGTAACTATGCAGTCTGCCTCCTCTCTCCTTTTTCTCCTCCTCCTCCTCCTGCTCCTCCTCCTCATTCACCTCCTCGTCCTCGTCCTCCTCGTCCTCGTCCTCCTCGTCCTCCTACTTCACCTCCTCCTTCTCCTCCTCCTTCTCATCCTTCTCCTTCTCCTCCCTCTCCCCTTCGCGTTCTCTCGCCCACTGCCGCTCCCACCCCTGAACCACCGCCCCCTCCCACTGCTGTTCAACTCCTCCTCCCCCGCTCTTCTCCCACGTCCTACTTCTTCAACGCGGGTGGACGGGCGCTGGCGCAGATCTGCGACGACGTCCTCGTCGTCGTCGTTGTCGTCGTCGTTTGCAGCCGCCGGCGAGTAGGGGATGCGGGGGGGTTCGAACCCCCCCAGGGGGCCTGGGGAGGTGGGGGGGGGGTCGGCCCCCCCCCCGGCGCAAGAATGTGTCGTCGTCGTCGTCGTCGTCGTCGTTCTTGTCGTCGTCGTCGTCGTTCCGTCGTCGTCGTCGCCGCCGTCGTCGTCGTCGTTGTCGTCGTCGTCGTCGTCGGCGGCTGCCGATGGCTAAGGTGGGGGGGGTTCGAAACCCCCCGTGAAGACCCCGGGAGGACGGGGGGGGGTTCGATTGCCCCTTCCTGGTTTTTCGGGGGAGGGGGGGGGGCCCCTGGTTCCCTACCCCCCCCCACCCCCTGGTTTGGGGGGAGGACAGGGGGGGTGGAAAACCCTCCCCCCCCCCATGCCAAAGGCGCCAGAAAGCGCTTTGTTATATGGGGTACGTGATTTGACGCTGTACTACGGTGTGATCTGGTCTGCCATTGTATGTTGTGGTGTGATATGTTACGCCATCGTGTGCCATGGTGTGCTTTGATATCATATGGCATGAGGTGTGGTGTGGTGCTTTGTTCTGTATGATTCGTTTTACCATAGCCTCTGTTGCTGTGCTATGCGATGGTCTGATGTGGTGTATCATCGTTTGTCGTGCGCGGTCATGTTATGATATACCACATGTGTTGCAATGGTCGGTCTCATGCTATACGTGCTACGATGGTGTGATGTGGGAAACCGTGATGTGTCATGTAATGATATGGTGTGTGTGTGTGTTGGTATGCAGTGTTGTGCTATGCTATGATATGGCATGCCATCGCACGTGCGCTCCGATATGTGCTACCATGCATTATTATGATGTGGTGCGCTATGGTATGGTATGGCATGTTATGCGAGACTGTGACACGGTATGTGTTGGTATAGTCAGGTCTGCGATGGTTTATTGTGGTGTGCTTGCTTTGTCATTATATGTGATGATTTGTGACGTGATCATGCACTATGGCATGCACGGCCGTCATGGTGTGCTACGTTACGGTATGTGTTGTAAGTGATAGTGTATGGTATGCTCGGATATGCTATGTTAGGAGGTGTGGTGTTATGCGCTGTTCTCTCATAACTTTTCGTGTTGTGCTGTACTATGTCATGCTATTTTGTAGTACCGCTCTGTCATGTTGTGAGTTGTCGGCGCGGAGCGGGACACTCGGGAATACTCGGGGGGCCTGGGGATCTGGCGGCCGCGGTATGCAAAAGGGCACGAAGTAGGGCTCTCTTGGATACTCGGAAAACCTGGGGGTATGGCGGCCGCAGTATGCAAAGGGGCGCGAGGCGGGACTCTCGTGGATACTCGGGAGCCTAGGGATCTGGCGACCGCAGTATGCAGACAGGCGCGAGGCGGGACTCTCGGGGATACTCGGGAGACTGGAGATCTGGCGGCCGCGGTATGCAGAGGGGCGCGAGGCGGGACTCTCGTGGATACTCGGGAGCCTAGGGATCTGGCGGCCACGGTATGCAGAGGGGCGCGGGGCGGGACTCTGGGAGATACTCGGGAGCCTGGGGATCTGGCGGCCGCGGTATGCAGGGTGGACGGGTCAGGAGATCTGTTCTTAAAATGTAACGGCCCCAACCTGCCGGGTGGGGAAAACGAAACTGCGTGCAACGTACTGAAAGCAACGCCCATATATAGGGCCGAGTATACGGGGTGAGATAGTACGGGCGCAGCTTCTAGGACATAGTCGCAGCACATGTAATGTAAAGTCAAGAGTGCAACGCGCGGTATGCAGACCATGCTATGAGGCGCAAATCACGCAGTGCAGCGCACGGTATGGGGTGCAATATACGGTCTATGGGGTGCAACCCCTCCCAGGGACACACGGGGGCAAGTCTGGACCAGGAGACTGCCCGGCGGCAAGAGGCAGCAGCAGGGCGGGAGACAGTCGGAGGCAAGGCCAGGGCAAGAACACTGCGACGCGGGCAAGTTCCATAGACCCACCGGAACCCCACAGTACAAAAGCTATTTGGTCATGCCTGCCAGCGTGGACCCCGAACTGTAGGTTCTCGCAACCTCGACGGGAAAACAACGTCACACTGCAGGGCGAAGACAAACTTGTTTCGTCGGCGGCGAGGCGGGACAATCCGCTCCAGTGTGGCAATAGGGGCGAAGACGGACACGTGCTTGCCAACACGCCATGCTGGCTATCTTGTATTCGTGCCTGTGCCCCCCTGAATTCCCCACTCCTCATCGTAGCAGCTGGCCCAACGTTCCCTCTGACCACCAGCGCCCTTCACCGACCACACAATACAAAATACCCTGCTTCGATGTACCGACATCGCCCCGAACTGCAACTCTGTCTGCCCAGACGAGGCCTCCAGAACAAACGAAGCGAACATGACGACATATTTGTACTATGTATGCCTTCCCGGCGTGCGCGACAAGCGTCACAATCGCGCTCCGTGTAGAACGGCACGCAGTCAAACAGCTTCTTGGGTTGTAAGTCTTTCGACCTGCGACATCGCAACCCGTCGCCATGCATCAAGCAGAGATAGCATGCTGACCTCGTGAACCACCTGCCTTCACATCCAACATACAGACGCAATGCTGACCCTGTACTGCTGAACGTGGCGTGTCGTACGCTGACACGGCGTACGTCAAAACCAATGTTCATAGTACTCACGTCCGCCAGGGTTGCAAATACTGACTGAAACAACGGCTACAAACAAATATATATGGGGGACACGTAAAGTAAGACTGACAGGCTTCAAAGCACGCAGTACACAGCACTGATCAGGAGCAGTGCTCCTGGACGTGCACTGACACAGAGATGTGTCGCATGCGACATTGTCGAGACGTGGTTTTGCCTCTGGCAACTTCTTGCAGTGGACGAGACTTGCGTACTATGTTGGTTGCAAGCCGTACTTCAAACCCAACCGCAATCTCGAACCATGTCAACAATCTTTCTGGACCCTGAATACAACTCGCCTGGGCAGCTTGGAGGGGCAAACTTGGAACAAATCCGCCGACCCCTTGTGGGTTTCCAAGCGCGTGGGATTCTCCCCCATCCATAATCCCCTCCCCAAGGACCCCAAAACGGCATTTCGACCCCCACCCCCTCGCCCAGCGCGACCCCGGACAGAACGCGCCGCGCGGGAGCGGAAAGCCCAAAAACTTATCAAAAAGGCACCAAAATGCTGCCCTGACGGCTCCCGGGGAGCAAGATTCGCCGACAGATCGCCCCTAGACGCCCGCGATGGCCTCCAGGCGGTCTCCGAAGTTGCCAAGACGCCCCAAAAGACCCCCAAGATGCGCCCCAAGAGGGTCGCAAGAAACAGAAAACGGCCCATTCCCCTTTCGAAAACCAAGCATTTCTCGCATGCTCGCCTATTCGGCTTTCACAACGCCCAAAACAGGCAAAGAAACCTTCAACGTCGCCCCCAGACGGCCAAAGGGGCCCCCCAAAAGGGTCGAAGAGGGTCCAACAACAGCCCACGAAGCCCCCAAGACAGCCCGACAGGCCCCCAAGACGGCCCCAAGAGGGCACCTGTTCGAGCCTTCGGCACCAAGACGCCCCCAGAATGCTCCAAGAACACTCCAAAAGGCCTCGAGGGACCTCCAAGAGAACCGCCGAGGCCTCCAAGACGCCCCAAGGAAGTCCCCAAGAGGCCCCAAAACTACCTGCAAGACGACCCCGTCCGCCCTCCCACGAGATCCTCTTAATCACTCGCGTGGCCGCGTACCTGAACCCAAGCAAGGTGGCGGGATGCGCCGCGTCCCATTCGAGAACCAATCGTCCGGTTGTTGGACCGACGCCTGCCGTCAACGAGCGCGGGTGTTCGCAGGTAGTTTTCCATGTCTGCACGGCGAACACTTCGAAACTCAGCCACGAAAAACGCACTCACCACGCAGCATCCCTCCACCATCCGACAATGCCCCCGCCTCCAGAGAGTTTCGAAGGGACCCCGCGGAACACCCATCAGATTCTGACCCCCTGCCCGGCCGGTTTGGACCGACGGCCATGACAAATTGCAAGGTCCAGACACCTGTACAGGGTCTCGACATCCAGGGCGACGCACACGCTGTCCGGAGTGTCGGACACCTTTCCAAAAGGCGACCAGAAAACAGGAGTAAACGCCTCCAAACCAAATCGTCCCTCCTCCTTCTCCTCCTCCTCCTCCTCCTCCTCCTCCTCCTCCTCCTCCTCCTCCTCCGCCTCACCCCCACCCTCACCCGCCTCCTCCTCCTCCTCTTCCGCTTTCTCCTGCTTGGCTTTCCTCATTCATCGGTTTCGTCCTCCCTCTCGCTCTCAACCCCGTTGGTCGTACTTCTACGTATCGTGGCACCGGCGCTCGCATGGGTACCATGTGCATGCCTTGCATTTCAGGGTGCCCTTCTTTTCGTTGCGCGCGACATTGCTCCTGTCCACGGAGGGAGCCCGCCCACCCAAAGAAACAAGACAAAACAAGTACGCCCCAGGACAGCAACACGACATCCCCAAGTCGATCAATGGGTCGGCGGATGTGGCGTAAGCCTATAGAATAACTGTTCTCAACCACATCAGGTTTGCCGATGCCCTGATAGATCCGCCAACGTATGTTCTAAGAGCAAAACAATGTTCTTAGAACATGAGCCCAATGCGGTAAAACAGACAGTCCCAGCCAGAAATGTTCTAGGAACAAGTTGTGCAAGCCTCAAAAGCTTTTAGATTTGGTGGGCCTATAGGCAAGCCAGGACGCTTCGCCACTGCTCAATGTTGTGTCTTTCGCTCCCCCTCTCCGGCGCGTCGCGCTCTGCAAAGCGTCCGCAAACCAACGCCGGTCGGAGAAGGCAGGCAAAAACATGAAGTTGGAGGGCAGATACCGTAGATTGGGTGCCATCCAGGCCCTCCAAGGAAATAACATACCACAGCAAAAGCATGCCGACGTTTGAAGCAGGAAGGCGCTCGAAGTAGATTGGGATCAGGGACTCCAGGAATGAGTGCCAAATCTCAACGACCGACGTGTACCCGTTCTCCCTGGCACTTCCCCACCATCCCCCCCCTTCACACCCATCCTCCTGGACCGAGGGTCGGGAGCGGCCAAGAGGGGGGTGTCTAAGACTCATGGGTGTGCAAATCATGACCGACGGCATGTGCGCGGCCCAGCGGAGGGACCAGGAACGTAATGAAATAAGAAGAAGCGCCATGAAATCTGGGGAAATATCATGGCCCCCGCCATGAGATCCACCCCCCGCTAGTCATCACCCCCCTCTTTGCCGCCCCCGAGAGGGGAGGCGCCCTCCAAGGCCTCTGCCAGAGCGCCAGCGCCACGACGTCCTCCCTCGGGGGGAGGAGGCCCGGCTGGCCGGGCTGCAGGGTCACCTTGCGCGCGTCCGCGGGGGGGGAGGGGGGGGGGGCGGGGGCGCCCTCGCTCGGGGGTTCTACGGCGTGCGCGGGAGGGGGGCGCACGCCCGAGGCGGGACACACGAGCCGACACCTCGAGCCCTCCTCCTCCTCCTCCTCCTCCTCCTCCTCCTCCTCCTCCTCCTCGACCTCGACCTCGACCTCGACCTCCTCCTCCTCCTCCTCCTCCTCCTCCTCCTCCTCCTCCTCCTCCGCGACCCCCTCCTAACTCGTTTGACCGTTCCTCGTCGAGGTAGGAAGCTGCCCTTCCACCACCACAAGATGGCCAGTAGATCCTCCGAGAGGCCCCCGAGAATAGCCCGAGAGGCTCAAACCACGTCCGCAGATGCAACATGCTCTTCCGTCCGCGGCCCACGAGGTCCCGATTGCTCTCCCCATACCCAGGCCCTCGTCCCAGCTTCGTGCCTGACGGCCCTCGGGGGCCCGAATCAAACCTGCCCCCGAGGCTCGAATGCGCGGAGATGCGCCAGGAGCCGGCCACGTCGTGTCGTCGGAGATCCGGGAGAGAGAAGGGGGGGGCGGGCGACCGCCGCAGCACGGCGGCGAGGCACGACGGATGGGTGGCACGGGGGCGGGGAGAGACGGGAGGGGGGGGAGCAGGACCGGCACTCGGAGACGCACGGGCACGGGCCCGCGAGAGCCCGAGACGGGCCAGGGCCACGTCGCGAACCCCGGCCGGCCACGCCGTACCGCAGGGGCCCGTCCAGGAGAGACCTTCCACAAGAAACCCAACCCTGAAACTCCAGGGCGCCCCCTGAGTTCTGGTCTGGGCACGTCACGCCTTGCACAGCAAAACCATCGAAACACAAGACACCCGGGGCACCCTTGAGGCAAGCAGGGTGTTTCTTTGCATGGGCCTCCACTATAGCTCCCAAACCTGGGTCAGCGGAGGGTGGGGGAGCAGGTCGGCTCTGGGGAAGCCAATAGGTACCGATACCGCTACTCTCCAGGCCTCTCCCAGGGCGCGTTCTGACCAGGACTTCGAGGCGAGTCCAGCGGTGGCGACGAGGGCCTCCCAGGAGGCCCGAAAAAGGGAAGACGAGAGAACGGTAGCGGTATGGGTACCCGTTCCTCCTCTGAGGCTCCAGGTGGCTCCCAAACCCGGATCAGCCACAGGACATCGGAGGGGACTGGCCCCCGTTGGCGGCTGTACCCCCGTCGCGGGGGCCCCGAACACAACGCTGGGGGAGCAGGAGCTGCGCCACCAGCGGGAGCCGTGCAGTAGAGCGCTCGCCGTGTAGGATGGCGGATGACGATTCTGAGGGAAAGAAGCAACAAGGATGCTGCGACCAAGCGATTCAGCAACAGCTTTGGCAGAGACGATTCAACAAATGGTTGTTTCACGTCTGGGTCGCTTGCTGCGAAGCAACAGATTTGGCAGGGACGATTCTAAAAATAGTTGTTTGTCGTCCGGGTCGCCTGCAGCGGCCTCGACGGCGACAACAACGACGACGACGAGCGGGGCGTGCGTTTTGATCGAACACTTCCTACTGAAGCGCGGCGACCCCCCCGGACGTTTCTCCATCGATTAGGCGCATCACGTGGGCAGGCGTCGACTGAGGAGAACGCAAGAAAGACCCTCCAAGGGTCCTGTGTAAGAGAAGGAGCGGTGCTGCACGGGCATGGTGGAGAGAGCACGGGGAAAGGGGGAGTGGCAAGGGCGGGAGAAAGAGGACGGGAGGCAGGGGGAGAGAGCTGGGGGTAAGTAGGGGAAACACGGAATGGGAAAGAAGGGGCAGGATCATCCAGCATCAAACCGTGGCATCGGATTTCATTGGAATGCAAATCGAATCGGTCGGGCTGCATCGGCACAGAATTGGAATCCAACCAGATCGGCCACGCCAGAACGTACAAAGATGCCATGCGAACATCGAGCCGCATCGGACCGTCGGAACATCGAAACGGAACCAGATCGGCCCCGCCCAAATCGGCACGGAACCGGATCGACCGGATCGAAATGGGCACGGGGGGGAGAGGAAGACTCGATGACGCCTCGTCGCCTGGCTGTCGGGTCAGAACTCTGGCCTCCAGCGGCCGCTCGGGAAGATCCCGGCAACTCCGGAACGCCGCTGACTGAAAGGCGTATCAACGAGGTCGGCGTGGAGAAAATCGGGCTCCGCATCGCGCCGCATCGGCGATGCGGCGCGATCCTCCGACACCATCTATTACGGCCCCACCTGGGAGGCCCAGGGAGGATGTCTTCTCTGGAGGAAGACGCACTGCAGAAGCATAACCTCCTGGAGATTCGAAATGTTGTGCTCTCGAGGACGTCGAGGGGGGGGCGTATCATACCCGCGCCCTTCGGGCGGGAGGGGGGTGAGAGAACGAGGACGGTAGCCGTGGAGCTGGCGATGTCGACGGCGAATACGTCTGGGAAGAGCGCGAGCAAGGCCGCGAGGTCGCTCAGGTCCTTCGCGGGGGGGGGGGCCTGTTGACCTGGCAAAAAAAAAAAAAAAAAAAAAACAGCCGCAAGCGTGCTGGCCAGAGGTTTAAAACTCAATGGTCAGCGATGGAGACGCTACTCGACACAGAGACTCGCCTCGCGAGCAGGGTCGTCGTCTTCCGTCCGAGTCGCTGCCCTCAAGGAGGCCTCCGAACTTAATCCCACAAGGCCGACGCAGCCCGGGATACACCGGAGGTTGAGATTGCTCCTGCCCCGCTCACCCCTTCCACCACCCAGGGGGGGAGGTTAGGAGGCAACTACTGGGAGTTTTCCGTCGGAAGGAATAAGGAGGATTAAGCCCCATTGGGGGGCTGTTACGCCAGAGTGGGCCTCGGATCAAGCGGGATTAAGCCGGATTAAGCGGGATTAAGCGGGATTAAGCGGGATTCAGCGGGATTAAGCCGGACTTCGGACCAGGGCGAAAACAGAATTTCACCTCCCAGGAGTTGCACCCGAGGGGAGGGACGGAGGAGAGGGACGAGAGGACAGGGACCCTGAGATCTGGTCCTTGCAATTGTTTCATACCGGGCGTCTTCGCCCCGCTTCGGGCCCCGGGACCGTCACAGATCGACCCGGCCCGAACAATGTTGCAGAAGAGGGGTCTGGGGCTCTGGTCGTGACTTTCCGAGATGTTGCATTGTTCCGCAACGTCAGTGGCGTCGTCGTGGTCGTCGTCCCCCTTCTCTTCAAACTCCCTCCCTCCCTATTCCCTCCCTCCCTACCTCCCTCCCTCCTCGTTCTCTCCCCTCCCGCGCGCCAGGGAGCGCGCTGGAGGAGGAGGAGGAGGAGGAGGAGGAGGAGGAGGAGGAGGGAAAAGAGGGAGGTGGAGGAGGATGGAAGATGCAGATGGAGGGGGGAGGAAGAGAGGGAGGAGGGGAGAAGGAGGAGGAGGAGGAGAAAAGAGGAGAGACGACCAGTTTTAGCCCACGATTCATCAACGATGTTGCAATGAACTCTCCATAGGTCCCCACAAACATGTGTTTTCGCTTCGGGATGTGCTCCGTTGGGCAACAACCAATGCCAACGCACCATTCCTGGGACTTCGCGCCAGAACGCAGTTCCTGGGACTTCAAGCCTGCAGATCAATGTGACTTTCGCGCCCTGACAATCTTAAACCGCGCTCAAACACCTTGTTCTGGGACGTCAGCGCTAAAAATCCTTGAAACAATTGTAGACTGTGAAGACGAACGCATGCGGCGCATGGGCGAGAACCACGTTTTGAAAAAGAACCGCCCTCCACCCGTGAAGCTTGGGTAAAGCGAAAACCACATTTTGAAATCGATCCGCCCTCCATCCATGAAGCTCTCGCGGCCTTGTGAAACACATGTGCGCGGCGCTAAAACTAAAACTACAGTTTGAAAGCTGCCCGCCCTCCATCCGTGAAACTCTTGCACGCTTTCGCAACGAGTGTGCGCGGCGCACAAGCGAAAACCACATTTTGACAACGGCCCGCCCTCCATCCGTGAAACTCTTGCAAGCGTTTGCGACGAGTGTGCGGGGCGCACAAGCGAAAACCACATTTTGACAACGGCCCGCCATCCATCCGTGAAAACCGCGCAAACTTGTGCAACGAATACGCGCGGCGCTAGAGCGAGAACCACATTTTGAAAACGGCCCGCCCACCATCCATGACATACCAGGCGGAAAGACTGGCCTGCCTCTGGGTGTGACAGCGAAGAACTATTTCTCAGGAAGAGGGATGGAGGAGTCGAAGTGGTTGACATGTTGGGCTAATCTCGGGCCTCTTGGGAATGAGAGGGAGGGCGGCGAACGACAACGGCATCCTGGTCCTGCTGAGGGAGGAATTCGACGGATCTATGGGAATTTACAGATCGTCCTAAAATTCACGGTGCGGTTGACTGCGGCGAGTGATGCCTACCAAGTTTAATATGCATCAGGCATTCCGTCCTGGGGCTACTTGGGGCTGCCCTGGGCGACCAAATTTAATATGAATCAAGCATGCCGTCCTGCGACTGATTGATGGTTGTAACCTTTCCACAGGACGGCTCAATCGCCCAACCGTGGCCTGGGGATTCCCCGTGGAGAAGGGAGATAAAGAGGAAGGAAGGAACCGTGAAACTCATGAACGTTTACAACATATGAATTCGAGCTTGGCACAAACTTGATGGGGATGCGCAGGAGGGGTGCAATGTATCACTGTCACCCACGTTTCTGCGTTTTCTGTTTTACTACAGCGTTGCTATGGGCTGTCTCTCTCGGTCTCTCTTTCTCTCTCTCTCTCTCTCGCTCTCTCTCTCTGTCTCAATCTCTCTCTCTCTCTCTCTCTCTGTTGTCCGTCTCCTCCTCCTCCTCCTCCTCCTCCTCCTCCTCCTCCTCCTCCTCCTCTACCTTCGTCTCCTCGTCCTTCGTCGCCTCTTCCTTCCCGCCCCCACTCCTCCCTCCGCATCGCAATCAATGGTCTGCTTCCTCCGTCTCGTTTGTTTCATTCTTTTTCCTGCGCTTCCCCCTCGGCGTCCTCCGTCGTATCCTGCTCCTCCTCCTCCCCCTCCTCCTCCTCCTCCTCCCCCTCCCCCTCCTCCTCCTCCTCCTCCTCCTACTCCTCCTCCTCCTCCTCCTCCTCCCATTCCTTCGTCTCCCCCTTCGCCTCTTCCACCGATTCCTCCTTCACAAAAGGAGCGCAGGGAGGAGGGCGGGACCTTGGAGGATGAGGAGCAGACGGAAGAATGAGGAGGATGGGGGAGTGACTCCTCAAACTCCCCCTCCTCCTGCTCCTCGGACTCATCTGTCACACTTTTCGAATGGGGAGCCGACGGAAGAGGCAAAGGAGGAATGTCATGGAATGAAATGCAGTGGCGGGGAGAGCGCACAGCAATCAATACCGAGTTCCAGCCCGAGTTCCTTGCCTCGAAGAGAGGCCGCCTTGTCGCAAGCTCTCTCCACGAGAGCTGACATCTCGCAGCACATCTGAAGGGGCCGCCCGCATGGCCGAAGGAGTAAACACCACCGTAGAGCCGGCCACAACCGAACAATGCTACCAGCGGGTTCCTCCCAAACACGATGCGACCAGTCGAGCAAAGGGAACAGAGCAATCCAGGAGCGCCTTGCACTTGCGAGTCGGCGGCTTATCTTGATTAGATCGGTGAATAACCACCTGGCCCTTCTTGGTGGGGATTCAAACGAAGGCAACCAACTTTCAAGCTCGGCCTTGGGACGAGCCTCCACTCGGCGGCGTGCGAGGCGGGGAAGTGAGAAGGGTCGGGCCTTCCCACAAGGCTCGGAAGATCCCCGGCCTTCTGAGAAGTTGTCTAAAACCTTCCCCGAAGACGCAAACAACTTTCCAAACGGCGCGAGGGTTTCTCAGAAGTCCCGCCGCCTCCTGAGAAGGCCTTCTCCTTCTCAATGTCCCACCTCGCTCGCCGCCGATCCACAATTCAAACATCTGTGATCCTGCTTCTCAGGGAAGGCAAGCGCCACAACTCCCGTTCTCCGAGCGAATCCGGCCGCAACGATGAGGTGTCCCTGGGATTCCGTGAGCAGCTTGCCGCGTACAGCTGGGACACCAGGACGGCCAGACATATCCAACTGAGACTGAGAGCTGCCGCCGAGCTGCAGACAAAGTCGACAATGCCATCCAGCTGGTCCGTCCTCCCAGCTATGCGAATTCCCCACCCGACTAATTGGGGTTGTTAGATTTCAAGAACAGACCCCCCGGCCAACCCCACGCATACCGCGGCCGCCAGACCCTATGTTGTCCCGAGTCCCCGAGAATCCCTGGGACTGCCGCCTCGCGCCCTCGACAAACACGACTGCATACCGCGGCCGCCAGACCCCAAGTTGTCCCGAGTCCCCGATAGTCCCTGGGACTCCCGCCTCGCGTCCTCGACATACACGACTGCATACCGCGGCCGCAAGACCCCAAGTTGTCCCGAGAAACCCCGAGTCCCTGGGAGTCCCGCCTCGCGTCCTCGACAAACACGGAAAGCACAGGAATTCAGAACATCACATGACAGAACATAGCATAGCAGTACCATGACAAGCACAGCGGAACATAACAACACGAAGCACAGCATGGCAAACCATTGCAGAACATAACACGGCATAACACACCATAGCATAGGATAACTGAACATAGCATAAGACTCATTGACGGAACATATCATATCATGGCACAGCTTTCAGAACATGTCATAACACACCAACAGAGCATAGCGACGAACACGACATAGCACAACGTCCCACAATCGAATACAAGATCACAGAAACATGATCATGACATAACATTACGGAGCATCATATGACAGCAGCACTACAAAACAACCCACGACATAACATAACAGAGCATGCCCTATCATACCATGGCATACTATCACAACATAGCAGACATACCACGACATAGCATAACACCTCATGGCACAACACTGCAAATCATGAGGCAACATATCACAACACATCATCAACTAACAAACACGGCATAACATACCATAAGGAAGTCATGCCACACTACATCATAACACAACACAACAAACCATACCATGACATAACATTGCATAGCATTGCATAACAGAGCAACACATACCACATCATAGCATAACAAGACCGAACATACTATACCACACCTTGACGGAACATATCACATGACGACACAGAATTCAGCAAATGTCACAACACACCAACAGAGAATAGCGACGAACACGACAGAGCACAACACATCACAATACAAGGTAGCACAACAGAACGCGATAATGACATAACATGAGCAGTATCATTACAAACCAGACCATGACATAACATCACAGAACATACCATATCAGATCATGAACACCATAGTGGACATAACACATGTCATAACACAGCATGACAGATCAGGACAAAACACTGTACCTCATGAAAGAACAAAGCACAACATCACGTCACATGACACACCAGAACAGAACGTCACATAACAGAGAACCGCAGAACATCAGAGAACAAACCAAAACCAAACCAGACCCCCAATTGTCTCGAGAATCCCCGAGTCCGTGCCGCCGCCCCGCTGCGGGCGGCCTCCTCGCCTGCGTCCCTCAGTCTAAGGATGGGAGGGGGGAAGAAGGAGGGGAAGGAGGCATGGGGCAGGAGGAGGAGGAGGAGGACAGGGGCCCAAGGTTTCGGTGGGGATCGCTCGAAACAAATAATTATTTTGTTGTACAGCGGTCCTGCCACGGAGGAAACGGCGCGCGGGACGGGGCCGCATGACACCATTTTTGAACAGCGGCAGCACGGCAACCGCAAGCTTGACAACATTGCTCGCTCTCTCAAGTGCGAGGTTGACCCATGAGAGGAACGAGGGATCAGCTCCGCCATGGCGCACCAACGCCACCTTCGCATTATCATCGACAACCGAATTCGCAGCAGCAAAATCTATTCCAACCTGTGGCAGAGCATCTATGAAATCCTGAGATCTGTGGGTTTTCACATGCCTGACTTCCTGGCGCCAATGTGTGCCCTTTAAGCTGTGAGTTAAGAGACGGACGCCAGCGAACTTCGAGCTGGCTGCTAACTGCTGCTAGACACTACGCTGAATTTCTAGATCGCCGGCATGCAATCCGCCCCGAAAACCGACTATCTGTTTGCCACCTTGCCTCACAATACAATACAACGTGCTCAGACATCGCACGAGTCTGATGAAAAGTGCCGTGGACCACTCCACGCATGACCGCCCCAGGCTCAGGCGCATCACCACTCGCAGGTAGCACTCCAATCGCCCAAGCCTCTCGCTGGAGGGCTCGGAAAAGGGGCTTGGAACAAAAGCCGCCCGATACCCTGCGGAGCACCGACTCATTAGACAGGGTAGCGATGGCCTCGGGATACATATCCAGTGGGTTGCCCGCCACATTCAAGAGTTCTACTTCCGACGACGTACTGGGCAAGGGTACCTCACTATCAGGATACACAAAACTGCTGCGAGTAAAAACTTCAAGCCTGGATCCTCGAGCGATGCCCGGATGTGTGCAGGCGGAGGCACCCAATTCAACACGTTCCTGCTTGACATCGTCCCTGGTGCAAGTGTAAAGCCCGCGGTGGAGTGTGTCGATCTCGCCGCACTCACAAAGCTCGTCCGTAGCGTACCCCGCCAAACGACCCCTTCCAGTGGTCCACACTCCATTACACCCACAGCATGGTATCAAACATGTTGCACGCCTGCCGAGGCCCCTGGCGTTGGGCCTCCCACGAGGTCGGTGATGAGATCTAGGGTGGCCCTGAAGAGGAGGAGACGGAGGAGAGAGGAGGGCGAGAGGGTGACGAAGGAGAAGGATGAGAAGGACAAGACAGATGCAGCAGACCCTCGATGGCGATGCGGAGAAATGGCGACAGGAAGGAGAAGACGAAGGAAGAGGAAAAGGGAGGAGGAGACAAAAGAAGAGAGACAGATAGAGAGAAACAGAAAAAATAACGGAGCGCGAGAAAGGTAGATCGCAGAAACGCGGGTGAGAGTTATGCCCCCTAACCCTGTATGAAATCCGGCCCTTGAAAGTCAGATACACCTTTGCTGCACATCCATCGCAACCTCCCCAATGATGGGAGGGCAGTTGTGCAGTCCGCTCCCCACTACACCGCACGTGCCGCGTCAGGAGCTACGGGGACTTCGATCCATGTCAATGAATGCAATTGAAAACCGCCCTCCCACGTCGACGAACACGTTGTGGTTGAGCTCGCAGTGGACCAAGATCACGTCGTGCCATAACACACGGAAGTCGCATCCACATCGATTGATGCCCAGTGTGGTCAGACACCCAGTGGTCTAGGACCAGAACGTGCATGAATGAATTCGTATCGGTTGAGACGCCTTGTGATCGTGGACACTACTGCAAGTGTGGGCGGTGGCGGTACTCACAGCAGTGGTAGGCTACGCAACTGTACAATTTCCTCTAGGCGAGGATTCCCAGGTTGAACACCCGAGTGAACTCTCGTTGGACGAGGGGAGGGGGAGGGGGGAGCAGAGAGGGAAGTAGAAGGGTCAAGACTCGCAGTGTCTGAACTCGAAGTGGTCGAGCGGATTGTCCCAGACTCTGTGCTGCTTGATCTCGCGCTGACTGCGGCAGAACGTGTAGCGGCTTATCGCTCGGTGCCGACGAGGACTCCAAGGTTGAACACCAAATTGAGCTCCCAGGTAAGCTACCAGTGCACGAGGGGAGGAGGACGGGAGGGAAGGAGGGAGAGAGAATTAGATCTGGAATCAGGGTACACTCCTGAAGTGATTGAACAAATAAAGATTGAACGCGTAGTGGTTGACCCGCCAGCCTGAGCGAGAGCTGCGTCTTCCTTACACGCCATGGCTCCGGTGCCCACTCGTCCCAAAAAGGAATGCCGTGCCAGAGCCGCGGTCGAGTGCGGGTCCGAGCCTCCTGAGAAGGCCTTCTCGTTCTCGATTATCATGGACTGGGAGGGGAGGGGGAGGGAGTGGGGAAAGGGCCGGAGAGGCCAGAGGAACGACATTGACATAAACATAGGCTACAGGAGGTCCGCGCGCACTTCTTGAACCGCCGCTGGATAGAGCGGAGCTCAAAACGTTTATGGCTCTGCCGTGCTTGCTTTTCGAAGAATGGGTAGACAGGAACATTGGCGGCGCGCAGTCAGGGGGTAGGGGGAGAGCTGGGAAGGCATCCTAGACGGGGCCTGCTTCTCAGAAGGCGCCGGCCCTACATCTTGAGACGAGGCCCGCGCCTTCTGAGAGGCAGGGGTGCTTATAAGAAGCCTTCCCCCCCTCCTCCTCCTCCTCCTCCTCCTCCTCCTCTCCTCCTCCTCCTCCTCCTCCTCCTCCTCCTCCTCCTCCTCCTCCTCCTCCTCCTCCTGCCCCCCCGATGCGCGTGGCCGAGAGGAGGTGCGGGAGGGCGTCCTGCAGCCCCAGGCGGCTCTTCTCGAAGACCGTGCCCCACTGCACCTCGAAGGCGGACGGCAGCTCCTTCCCAGGGACCCGGGAGCGGGGGGGGCGACTGCGGCTCGTGTTGCGGGGAGGGGAGGGGAGGGTAGGTTTAGGTCGGGCCTATCCTCCTACAGGCGGATTTGGGAGGAAAGCTAGGAAATAGTCAAAACACGTCCAAAACAAATCAAACATAGTTCAAAACATCGTCCCCAGCATGTTTTCTTGTCTTTACTATTTTTGACTACTCCTCCTGTAGAGGGACACGCCCGACTTAAGGGCAGGTGGCCACATGTAAAGCCTACCCTAGGGGGGGTGGGGGCTCACTCCGCTCGAAAGCGCCTCGACGAAGCACCCCCTCCCCCCCAGAAATCGTGGGAAGTCGGGGTAGGATTCACATGCTGCCACCAAGAGGAGGAGACGGAAGAGGGACAGGAGGAGAGATGAAGAGGATGTCATGTTGCATATTCGTGGGATAGTATCTGTCCGATCGCGCCAATATCCGCGTCGAGTGCATGCAAGATCCGCGAAACGACATCGATTTGCCGTCTCATCCGCGTCAAATCCACGTCGAACCCGTGGCGGAGACAAGACAATAACTCAATTTGTTGGACAGGGGTCCCCCGAAGATGCAGCACAAGGGATGAGGAGAGGGGAGGGGAACAGGAGGAGAGGAGAAGGGCACTAATCCCACCAGTCCTCTGGACGGAGGTGGTGTAGGGTGTTTCCTCTTCCACTCCCCGTCTTCCCCTTCGGGGAGGGGTGCAATCACTGTTTCCTATTCATAAGCACTACCTCCCCCAGGCGGCTGGCAGCCAACCAGGACCAATGAGGGCACCTCCCCCAACCATCCCTGTCAAAGAAACACATGAATCTCCACTTTCGGGCAACATCTTGGGTCATGATCGAGGGGGCCGCGGGCACTCTGTGTTGATTTATGAGAGGGACGGCGGGGGTGCCCGCATATTGCCTGCTGCGCGCAGGGCCAGCATCCCTGTCACAAAGATCATGCAACATGCACTTCGAAACAGAATCTGGAGCATGCGCGGGCACCCCGCGATCACTCTGCACAGGTATTTGACTAGGACGGCGGGGGTGCTGGCCACCCCTGCTGTGCAAGCCCACCAGGCGCTATGATGGCCACCCCACCGCGATTGCGCACTGGTTTTCGTCAAGGGTGGGGGGTCCGACACGTTTCCCGATGTGTACTGCCACGAGCGCAGGCGCACCTGGCGCGGCAAGAGCATGCGGCGCACATGGCGCACGTGGACAACGTGGACCATCTGGCGCAGCAGGCATGCCCAGCACGCCTCGGCCACAGGACTGCCTGGCGCACCTGGCGCGCGTGGCGCGCCTGGCGCACCTCGCCCCAACATTCCGCACATGGGGCCCGTTTTCGCTCCCATTAGTTGCCCATCCAAAGGCTACCGCTGGACACGCTGCGACTCGGGTGCTACCTATGTGTTGGGAGGGCGGGTGGGAGTCAGCGAAACGGCTTGCGGGCGGGAGGGTGTCTTGACCCCTCCCCTAGCCCCCCCTGAATCTGAACGGGGGTGACCGCGAGGTGTCAGAGGGTCCTTGTTCGCCCAGGATGGCTTCAAGAGGGCCCCAAAAGGGCTCCCGATGCCCCAAGATGACCTCCAAGACGGCCCAAGCTAGCCGACGATGACTCAAGATGACGTCCAACATGCCTCCAGCAGCAGGCCCCAAGAGGGCCACAAGACGGCTCCACGTGCTCTCGGAGCCCACCCCTCGGGACATCACCGAGAATCAAACATCGTCCCAGCACTTTTGAAATCCATGCGTGTTGCCGTCTCTCCTCTTCGCCCCGAAGATGCCCCCAGGATGGCCCAAAAATGGGCCCGAGAGGCCCCCCAAGGCGCCCCCGAAGAGCGCCTCACGCGCGGGGTGGTTGGCGCCCGTGCCCGCTCGTGGGCGCCTCGCGGGCGCCCACGAGCGCGTGCTGGGTCGCACGGGGTCTCGCCACGCTGACGCCCGGTGCCCGCTCGTGGGCCCCTCGTGGGCGCCCCGTGTGGAGGTCGGGCTTCCCGAGGCTGCGCCTTGTTCGCGCCCGTGCTCGCTCGTGGGCGGCCAGTGGACCCCTATCCCGCTCTCTTCGCTTCTCTCTCTCTCTCTCTCTCTCTCCCTTTTCCTATCGTTCCTCTATCGTGTTTTGTTCGTTCTGCTCTCACCTGTCCCTCTCTCCCTTGTGTTTGTGTTTCTCTCTCTCTCTCTCTCTCTCCCGTTCTCTTTTTCTATCCTCGATCCTCTCCCCTCCACTTGAGGCCCCGTGTGCATAAGGAAGGAGAAGGAGGAGGAGGAGGAGGAAAAGGAGGAGGAGGAGGGGGAAGAGGATCAGATGATGGAATCGTGGACAGGAATGCTGGATATTGCAATTTCGTCTGAGGCTCGTGATGCCGTCGGCGGATGCGGGCTGGGAGGCAATCCTTTGTCCTAGATGTCAATAATAATCCTCCTGGGGGTTGCAGTAGGAATCCTTCTGCGACGGGAGGCATTGAAACTCGCCAGCGCAATGCCAAAGCAGTACCAACGCAATGCCAGCGCAATGCCAGCGCTATGTCAATGCGATCTCAAATCCGATGCCAATACAATGTCGTTGGGGGCAATCCTTGGTGGTAGATTTCAAACATAATATGGTTTGTTTGCGGAGGGTTTCAATAGGAATCCTTCTGCTAAAGGAGGCATTCAAACTCGCTAGCGCAATGTTGAAGCAGTGCCAAGCAATGCCAAACCGATGCCAAGGCGACCCCAATCCAATGCCAATGCTATGCCAATGGGGGTAATCCGTTGTGGTAGATTTCAATAAAAATCATCCTGGGGGTTGCAATCGGAATCCTTCTGCGACGGGAGGCATTGGAACTCGCCAGCGCACTGCCAGCGAAAGGCCAAAGCAGTGCCAACGCAATGCCAGCACAATGCCAATGCGATCCCAAATCCGATGCCAATGCAATGTCGTTGGGAGCAATCCTATGTGATAGATTTCAAAAGGAACCCATTTTTGCGGAGGTGTCAGTAGGAATCCTTCTGCGAAGGGAGGCATTGAAACTCGCCAGTGCAATGCTAAAGCAGTGCCAACGCAATGCCAAGGCGATCCAATCCAATGCCAATGCCATGTCCTCCTCCTCCTCGTCCTCCTCATTATCCTCCTCCTCCTCCTGCTCCTCCTCCTCATCATCATCATTCTTCTGCTCCTCCCATGGCCTCGTCCTCGTTCCTCAACCTCCTCCTCCTCCTCCTCATTCTCCTTCTCCTCTTCCTCTTCCTCCTCCTGCTCCTCCTCCTCTGTCTCTTCGACCTCCTCTTCGTCCTCCTCCTCCTCCTCTTCCTCCTCCTCCTCCCCCGCCCCCTGGGGCGCTTGGGGGCCTCTTGGGGCCCTCTTGGGGCTCTCTAGGGGCCGTCTGGGGGCCCTCTTGGGCCGTCTTGGGGCCCTCTTGGGCCGTCTGGGGAGCTCTCTTGGACCGTTTTCGGCCCCTTTGGTGGGCTTCTGGGGCTGTCTTGGGACGGTCTTTGGGGCCGTCTTGGACCCGTCTGGGAGCCCTCTTGGATTGTTTTGGGCCCCTTTGGGGCGCCTCTGAGGCCGTCTTGGGACGATCTTCGGGTCCTCTTGGGCCGTCTTGGGGGCGTTTTGGGCCCCTTTGGGGCCCTTTTGGAGCCGTCTTGGCACGATCTTTGGGGCCTCTTGGGCCGTCTGGCGGCCCTTGTGGGACCGACAAGGGGAGAACAACCCGAACAACCGGCAACAACCCTAGGGAAATCAATGTTTGTTTGCTTCCTAAGGCCCTCTCGGGGGCCCTCTTGAGGGCCTCTGGGGCCGTCGCGAGACTGGCTTGGACCGTCTGGAGGCCATCTGAAACTCTCTTTGGGACCGTCTTGGGGCCCTCTGAAGCCGCTTTGGGGCCCTCTTGGGCCGTCTTGGGGCCCTCTGGCCAATCCACCCGAAAAAAAATAAAAAGAAATGGGCCATGAGAGCCGGCCAGGAGCCGCTTCACTCGAAAAGATACAAGGGAAACGAGACATTAGACTTTTCGCCCGGGCCTTGCCCCTCCTCTGCACTCCTCCCTAGAGAGCTTCGCCCCAACTCAACGTACGTCACTCGTACCTCGCTCTTTCCGTCACCTGGGCCGGCACGAAGACGGAAAGAACGGACCAGGAACTGGCCCGAGAGGGCTCACGGCACTTCGCTCTTGGGAGCCTTGGTGTGAAGAGCTTGGTATGTCGCCGTCTCCATTGGGAGCCCTGGTGTTCCTTAGCGTCTCTGGGGCTTCTTGGGAATCTATTGGGGGCCCTTTTTGGACCGTTTTGGAACTTTTGGCCCTTCTTTGGGCCAGCCCAGTCCCTACAAGCAGCCCAGACCCCATACCGCCTCTTCGGGCCCGCTTGGGAGCCTCTTGGGGCCCTCTGGGGGCTATCTTGGAGCCGTCTGGGGGCCCTCTTGGACCGTTTTCTGCTCCTTTGGGGGGCTTCTGGGGCCGTCTTGGGACGATCTTTGGAGCCCCTTGGGCCGTCTTGGGCCCGTCTGGGGGCCCTCTTGGACCGTTTGTGGCCCCCTAGGGGTGCCTCTGGGGCCGTCTCGGGACGATCTTTGGGGCCTCTTGGGCCGTCTGGCGGCCCTTCTGGGACTGACAAGGGGAGAACCCGAATACCCGGCAAAAACCCTAGGGAATGTTTGGTGGCCTCCTGAGGCCCTCTCGGGGGCCCTCTGGAGGGAGGGCCTCTGGGGCCGTCTCGAGACTCTCTTGGACCGTCTGGAGACCATCTGAAGCTCTCTTGGGGCTGTCTTGGGGCCCTCTGAAGCCGTTTTGGGGCCCACTTGGGCCGTCGAGCGACTGAGGAATTTGCCCGAGATGGCTCATGGCACCCTTCGCTGTTGGGAGCCTTGCTGGTAAGAGCTTGTTGCGTCACCGCTCGGTCTTGGCAGCCTTTCTGGTAAGCGCGTGTTACGTCACCTCTCTGTTGGGAGCCTTGCTGGAAAGAGCTTGCTGAGTCACCGCTGTCTGTTCAGAGTCCTCGTGCTCAAAGGT